GTCCATCATATGATGGACGAAAGCTCAGCACGTTTTTACCCGAAACGAGGGTGGAATACTCGTCGACTGCATCAACATGAATATAGTATAAAAGCTAAAAGGCTGCAGTACAACGATTTTCATCCGTCCTCATCTGGTGAGATATACAAACAAATCTCTTCATCATGTACTTTCATTCGAAATGAAGGTCCCCCTAACAAAGTTAAGATAGGGCCGGAAAATCTTCTTGACCTAGTGTTAATGTGAGACTTTTACTAGAATGAGACCCAGCTCTGATGGACGAAAGCTCAGCCCATTTTCACCCGAAACGAGGGAGGAGGTCTCGTGGACTGCATCAACCTGAACGTCGTATAGAAGCTGAACGGCTGCAGTACAACGGGATTAAGCCATCCTCTACGAATCTCTTCTTCATACATTATCATACGAAATGAAAGTCTGCCAGACAATGTTATCTCAGGAGATTCATCGAAACCCACTTTCTCGTCATATCTATGACAGTAGGTGAGTTTGATCATTGACATGTACAGTGAAGTAAGAGTATGACCAAGAGATTCACCCGGTGCCAAGCTTGATATTCACAACTTTGGCAGCCTACTATTAAAAGCTTGAGGCAGTGTAGAACACAACGCCTCGATTCGCACAGTCGTCTTCGCGGAGGTCGACGAAATCACGGAACCAGGAAGGTTAGGTATGGAAACCTATGGGGCAAGAAGGAGGCTTTGGCACGGTCTGGATGAAGAGGATTGTGGACTGAACGAGCAGACTCTCATCAACACTCCCAGCAATTCGGGTGTGGTGGATGGGGGAAGAGGGAAGGAGTGTGAAAATGTCTCAGTAAATCCGCCCCAAACGGCACACCTGAACTAGGTTTTAATGAATAATTAAGAAATCGTGATAGCGAAGACATAGGATAGGGGAAGATACCACAACTCTCCGCTTGGTCAAGATATCGAATTTATTTTTTTGTTGACGATTTGTAGTGTTGTGCTAGGACTGGCTGGGCTGGTTTAAAGTCTGAGAATGTACCAAGTCCACTACTCGGTGCTGGAAATTTTAATGAATACTATGGGCTCCGGACAAGGTGACTTCGTCTACATCCCCGAGAGAACATATTTCATTTGGCGATACGAAGTGGCAATAAATCAGGTGGACACGGCTGCTGGAATTGGGCTATCCGTTAGCGGCTTCTTGCTCTCCCTCTCATGCATTGCAGCCGGCAGAAGTGAATGGTACAGATACTATCCATCAAAGTTGCACACAAGTCATGGAGGGAAGGGGGGAAATAGGTGGACAAACACGGTCTGAGGACACACAAATCATGCGTCTACATGTTCAAACCATGTGCAGATCATCGTAATGAAGTGTACATGTTTCGCGAGCATTTGTGGTCGGCAGTGTTCGGGCCACCACGAGTCTACCGACACAATTCTCACAACAGAGAGCATCACCAATAGACATGGTGACTTGATGGAAAACATCGGCAGTTTGTGGCCTGCGATTGTCCAGTTTGTGCGGCCTGTCTCTTCTCATGACAGTCGGTCGCGAATTGTTGGGAGCAATTTAACGGTTAATTGTACCCTCATCTCTGCTCTTAACAGTCTCTCACTCGCCGTGGATGGCGCACACTGTCTGTTTGAGTAAAAGCATACTGTTTCTGGATCGTCTGTGCAGATTCAACGTCACGCTTCACCTTTGTCATGGAAATGATCTGATAGAGATCTGGCCTGTCACAAAAGCCATGTTTGCGCTGGGGTCGTGTCTTCAAGTGGCCAACCTGCCTGCCTGCATGTGTACCAATCTGTCTGTCTGTCATGTGTCCGTTTATGTGACTATCCGCCTGTTTGTCTATTTTATCATCTGTGTGTCTGTCGACTATCTGTCTGCCTATGTAGGTTTCGTTTATAGGTGGGCCATCTATACATTAAGTATGATTAACCTATTCCGTTTACGGTGATAAGGGGACTGGTAGTAGAATTTTCCCATAATGATATGAGTAGAAGGTATGAAGACCAAGATGGTGTAGTCGCAGTCTCCTTTCGTTGTATAGTGGTTGTTTGACCTTGTTTTCGCAACTTGGTCATATTAGTAGGAAGACTTAGCGGAATGCACCTATTCCGGGGTCCATTGTTTGCATGATCATTTCCAAAATTGAACCGTGGATGTGGAACATTCCCAAACGTTTCGTCGGCAGCGTAGTCGGCATCGTCAGTGAGTATCGCCATCCTAAGCACCATACAGTCACTCGTCAAAAAGACAAGTGAAGCCGATCCTTTGAACAAACGTATGCTAAACAAATATGGTATCTCCCCTTCCGCCCTGGGTTATCCGCTACCGGAAACGCAGAAT